TCACATTTTTGTGTCATATAATACCAACACCAATATTAAAATCCAATCAACCACATTCTATACATGCATTGATTTAAATAAGAATAAAAAATCAAATATAGTATTAAAAAATATATTCAATATATGATATATATTTAATATATTCATGTTCAATACAGATTTATAGTGCAATCAGAAAATTAATATTATTTATAAATCATTATTAATCCTTATTAATAGACGATATGTTTTATTATTAATCCTTATTAATATAAAATATATATTGTTACTAATATATGAATTACCTGTATGAAGAGATAAACTGAAAGAGTGGGACATATACCGACCACGTGGCCGAATCTTATGTCCTTCCTGAGAAGGTGCTGTGAGGAAAAATTCGTATTCAATAACAAATAGTTGTAACATCTGGCCAATATTGGAATATTTTTCCTTATTTCAAGATTACAACTGTCTTCAGTAAATATCTTAATATTATACAACTTGAATCTCAGATTGCTTTCTAAAATTTTGACTTGTTCTATAATAGATGTCATTATATTGTCAATGAAATACGAGGTCTTCTCCGTACGAGATGAGAAAAGTTTCAATTCTCCATATAAGTTCTCTTGTTTTAACATTACAAATGTGATGGCTTCAATAAACTGATACAAAATTGAATCCATCTTGAGTAAAAATATTTAAAAAAATAGACGTTTTAGTAGCTAGTCTTAAATATAATAAAATATATAAATAATACTATATATATAAAATTAGTAAGTATAACATAATAATGCACCTTCGCAAAAAGGTCGAAATTTTTCAAATATGTATGATGTGCGGATCTAAATATATCGATATTTTAGAAAAGAGGAAAAAGCTGGATGATAGTACGTTTTAATTTCGGCTATACTAAAACAGAATGATATTTTTGTTCTTAATAAAAAGAATCAGTTTCAGCATATATATTTTTTTCTTTTAATAATTATTTTGTTCTAATTAACAATTTTATTCTTTTACAATTATTTTTAAAAGAATAAAATTGTTAATTAGAATAAAATAATTATTAGAAGAAAAAAATATGCTGAAATTGATTCTTTTCTTTGTATACTCTATAGAATGTTCATATAATAAATATAGATAAAATAACAGCATTAAATAATAAATAAATATGATTTTATAGCATAAAAATCCTACATAATGCACGCATAAAGAATGACTGAAGAAAGATGGTTTTTTTTGCCTGTTTTTGGGCTATCAATTTTTGGACTCAACGTATGCCAAATCACCTTAAAATCATATCTGAATAAGTGTGATGTTGAATTGATCTTAGCTTCATCGGTTGGATCATCGCGCATTGCACATAGTTCAATTGCATGCACCACCCACATTGGCCGGTTTCTAGTAATTTTTAACCGTTTTACTAATGAGATTATATTAATCTTAAATTAGCCAATTAGCGATGGGGGGGGGGGTTAAATGATATACACCCGGTTAGATCAACTTTCTTAAAATACCGGCTCTCACAGATCTATGATAATTCGATAACGGACTATGATTCCACCCTCCTTCTCTCCCCGCCACAACTCTGATAACAATTGTCACCCCAACTTGAAACTTTTCTGTGATTAAGTTTCATTATAAGGTAAAATTTGGCACACAGCTCAGTCACAAAATTGAAGGCCCAAAAACGGATGATTTTTTCACTCTTTTAATTGACTTACCAGGATTTTGTCTTTAAGAATCCTTTCTCATTTAAAGTTTGTCTCTTTTAAATTATCGGTGAAGGTGATAAACATTGTATTCATCGTATTTCTCGAAATTTCTCGGAATTCGCATCTACATCTCCTTATCGTTGAGTGGCATTAATCTGATAATTGCTTACGTCATACAATCTGGTTAAAATGCTGAAGTCCGATCTCCAGTGTCGTCATCGTTGTTCGGACTGTTCGGAATAACGTCGATTTCTATTATTATTCGAACGAGAGACTATGGTACGCGCTTGGTATATGGACAGCAGCGATGCTGATCAAAGATTGGAACACCATAGGCAACCGCCAGAATATGTTTCGCTGGATAGCCTGTTCGCCGCAACGGGCGTGGAATATTTTGAGGTTAGAAATATGCCGATTTTTGAGATCGTTTGTTGCGAATATTTTATTTTGACTGATGGTATTCTTCCACTATGATGATATCAACAGTTATGCTGTCTCGTCCCCGTTTAAGCCGAGTATTTTGACAACACATTGACAAGATGATATGTAATTATTACCAATCTCGATATCCAGTCACAATCAGCTGATATTGGAGCTGAATAATGTTGATATGAATTTAATGTGTATATATATTTATAATAACATCACTTTCTATATTGTTAAATGCTAAAACATCGCTTACATTCTCATACATATATTATATAACATATTGTGACATGTCCATATTTCTCTTCGTTTTCTTTCTAAAAGATATGTCCTTGACACATATACTCTTTATGCTTGTTATTAGCCTTTAGCTTTAAATTGAATCCAAAAAGTACAACTAAAAATAAATATAAGATGGATCTGATTATTTATATAATTTTCTTCAGTTATAAATCTTACAAACCTTCGTTATTTTTCATATTATTATTTAGTATTTAATGTTATTTTAATATCTGTACATTATAATACATACTATTTTAATAAAAATGAAAATATAAATTTTGTAAAAAAATGACGTGCATGTTTATAGTGAATAGAATTTTACGAGTAACATAAATTTACTGTATCATATTATGCTGTATTTGTTATCATATACAATCTATTTTATAGATAAATCATCTAAATTATGATGTAGATGCTACTCTGAAAGAACTACGCCAGAAACGCAGTTACACTTATGAAGATGAGTTAACATGTTCCAAAGAATGCTTAGAAAATTACGAAGAGAAGGTACAAAAGATATCATCTCTATTTTTAGAGTTATAATTATTATTATTCATTAGAAAAATATTAAGATTTTTCATTGATACCGTATGTTTCATTATCTAATTATATTAATACTCCTCCATCCGAATGATTTTTAGTTAAAAATCTTCTTCACCGAACATCTTCATACTGACGAGGAGATACGACTGGTTCTGGATGGTTCAGGCTATTTCGACGTGCGGGATAAGGATGATCAATGGATCCGGATTAAAGTAACAGCCGGCGATCTATTAATCATACCCAGTGGAATTTATCATCGTTTCACTCTGGACACTAACGTAAGAATATTTACGAATTCTTTTCACATCTGATCCCTTGACATATTTTATTTCTTTTCATCTGTCAATCTTCGTTTAAACATTTAAAGAAATATCCTTTTTCTGTTTAATAGATATTAAACAAATCTCTAATATATTCAGAATAAATGTAAAATAAATTTCTAATCTCTATATAATAAATGGATCTCTAATTTCTAAGAAAACTTTTAGAACTATATAAGAGCAAAGAGATATTTCGTGGGAGAGCCAGTTTGGTTGCCATATAATAGACCAGCCGAGAACATGGTATGCCGCAAGCAGTACCTCAATAAATTACAAAAAGGTTTCGAAGTATCTTTACCTTGATAATCCCATAGCATATTGCTACACATGAGCTTCTACAAGCAAGTATATTTTTTATATCTATCTATTGAATCTATTCTAGTGAATATTATATGTGAAGTTACCAATTTATATTTTATCATATTTGAATATTTTATATATACATACATGTCTTTTTCTTCAGTTTTGTAATTTCTTGCCAGATGATAATTCCTTTCTATATATATATATATGGATCTATATCTGTGATGTGCATCATTTCTAGTTTATGCAGTCATAGGACCTACAATTTAATGCTAATTTCGAACTAACATACAGTTTATATAGTTATAATAGCCATCAGGGGATTTATAATTAAACGCCAATTTCGAACTAATCTACAGATCTGATAAGATCTTTTCGGTCTTCCGAGAAGCGGCGATTAGATAAAAATCTAATATTTCTGATCGGATTAGAATCTTTCGAAAACAGATGCACATATCTATGCCATAATCATAACATTAAATATATGTATATACATAAGTAATGTTATACAACCAAATTGATGATCTAAATGAACAAATGTAAAACAACAGCTATACGCACAATTGCTTGTTTAACATACTAACATTGTAGATATATTTATCTTTAAATAAAACATTGTTTTGCCATATTTCAATTCCTATGTATAGTCCTTTTTACTTTTTTATCTTTTTGTTTTCAAAACAATTTTTTCGTTTCTAGACTCTTTAAAATAATCATAATAAAAGTTTAAAGAAAGCTTTATTTCTTAATTAATTTTATTGCCGCACAGTTGTTACAGACTTATCTACTATACAAATACTGTTTTAAGTTTAAAGTAATCGAGACTATAATATTTATATGTAGTTATTTATTCAAAATTATGTAGTCCTTTTTCGATATGTCATCAATAAGATTTTATAACAGAGAACAGTTAACATGACAAAAACTTTTAATATCAATACCTAATTGTTTAATTGATTTGTTCAATTATAAAATCGCAATCGAATCGTAAAAAGACATGTTCCGAAAGTGTCACAAAATATCACGGTTAGTTTCTTATATAATAAATTAGAATTCGTTTTATATATATAATTAATACTCTGTACACACACATTTAAAATTTAAGCAAACGCAATTTGTTGAACAATTCGACGGCACTATAAAAAAGTATCTTTTAGAAGAATTATTTGTACACTTTTTTTTCTAAAAGTTTTTTCGTTTATCAATTACAATAAGAATTAAATATAAAAAATTACATTAACAATTTTATAAATTAAAGTTATACTTTTTCGAAACACATATTACTTATAAAATAGCATTTTGGAAATTATAACTGAAAATTATTGTAATTGATGTGCAAAAATATATAAAAATGCATTTACATTAACTTTCTTATTGATGCCGTCAATTTACAATATATTCTATAAACACTGTACAAACATTTTTTCGTCTCCAGAATATTTGTCAAAAATTTTTGTCTTAAAGCTTATCATTATTATAAAATTATTTCGAAGTCGCGGAATTACCAATATATCCTTTTTCTCTCGAGGAGTACATAACAGTTTTTGTTCGTTTTATACTATTTGTATATTCAAACCTTTTATATTAAAACTTTGCACCAAACAGCACACTTGACGTGCTCTTCTTTTTAGAATCTTCCTCCATGACTCCGAACTTCTTGTACTCGCCTACTTTTTTCTCAAAGAAATTTGTCTTACCCATCATAGAGATAAAATCCATGAAAGAGAACGGATTCTCCGAATTGTAAACCTAGAATTATCACGATATTCTATACCTCTTAATAAATAAAATTAAAATAAGATCTAAAATTTTATTACGAAATTATCAGTATCTATCATTATATAAAATAAAAACATTAGGAAATATTAAAATAAACTCATAAGCTTTTTTATACATTACTTTTTCAAATCCTAATGCAACGAATAATCTGTCTGCAACAAATTCGATGTAGTTACACATGGATATGCGATTCATTCCTATTAGTTCAACTGGCAACGCTTGCGTCAAAAATTCCTTTTCAATTTCTACGGCGTCCATTACAATTGATTTCACATGCTCAAACGATGGTTTTTGTACGATGTGTTTAAACATTAAACAGGCGAAATCGCAGTGTAATCCCTGTAAAATAAACGATAAATATAAAATTTATTATATAAAAATTGAATAATCTATTATAAAAAAAATAAAATAAAACTAATTTACTGACTTCGTCTCGCGAGATAAGTTCATTGCTGAAGGTGAGACCTGGCATGACTCCTCGTTTCTTTAGCCAAAAAATAGCTGCGAAACTGCCACTGAAAAAGATACCCTCAACCGCCGCAAATGCGACTACACGTTCGGGAAACGTAGCACTCTCATGATTGATCCAGTTTAATGCCCAATTAGCCTTCTTCCTCACACAAGGAAGTGTCTCAATCGCATTAAATAAGAAATCTCTGGAAATAAGATTCATCAATGTAATTTCAGTAATAATATACTTAAAACATAAATATAAATTCAGTATAAATATAAAAATAATGTGTAAGCTGAGAAGTAAATGAATTATTCTATTTTATGAAAGTAAGATGCAAATTATATACGACTTAAAAGTACATAAAGTGACCGAAAAGTATCAGATTGGCTAAATATCTCGAGAACAAGACATTTGAGAAAAGTTTTATATAAAAGTTGTAAGATTTCATCAAATGCATCAAACGGCGATATTCATTTGACCTTGAGCACAGGTATGAGCTTTTAAAGTCAACTTTAAAATTTTTAATGGTAACTTCTATTCAATATTCTTAGTTGACATTGATATCTTCTTAAAACACTACAATAAAATTTCTTTCAGTTAAATACTTTTTGAGATATGGATTGATAAAGTTCAAGTATCACCGATTATTAGAATTTTTTTATACTTATGTTCAAGGTTAAATGGGTATCAACGTTGGATTTATTTGATGAAACTTTACAACTTTTGTATTAAAAAGTTTTTTTCTCAAATGTTTTATTTCTAAAATATTTAGATTGTCTGATACTTTTTGCTCATCTTGTATATGTAAAAGTTTCTAGTAATACTACATTCCATTCAATGACTCTATGAAATCGATATGGACCTCCTCTGGAGACGAAGTTTCGAAACAATGATTTTTTCGGAATTAGGTTGTAATTCCCCTAAGCTGGGGAATCGATGCATATATCTACTGAGACATGGGATCTAGTTTTGAACGCCGGCTCACACTCGGTGGTTTTGCCATTGCCTTCAGAAAGGTGGCGATCAAATCAAATTTTTGTGTTCTGGGTGGATTTGAACCCTAAATCTTTGACGCAAAAGCAGCTGTGCTACATTCTCATATCTACGCCACGATCGCCACAGTAATACTGCATATAATATATAAATGTAAAAAAATGTATGTCAAATATATTCTTACTTTTCTTTTGGATCAGAAATATAAGTTTCAATGAGCAAAGAGTACATCTCAGAATGAATATTTTCTATGGCAATTTGAAAGCCATAGAAACAACGTGCTTCGGAAATTTTCACCTCCTGGCTGAATCTCTCAATCAGATTCTCATTAACGATACCATCGGAAGCGGCAAAGAATGCTAAGATATGAGAGATAAAGCGTTTCTCATCGGAATTTAGCTTTTCATTCCAGTCCTTCTTGTCTTGCTGTAACAATTACAAGAATTCATTGTTGGGGGTTAATACATAATATTTATTAAAGTCTATTTTTATTTAAAAATTTTTTAGTTATTAAGCTATTCGATATGTTAAGTTTTCAAGTTGTATATTTTTATATCTTGAAAAAAAAGTTATAACTTAAGAGCTTATACCTTGTGAAGGGATACTTCTTCTATGGTCCAAAAAGAGGCTACAGCCTTTTTATACATATCCCAGATATCAGGATACTGAATAGGGAAAATTACAAAACGGTTTGGGCCTTCCTGGAGCAGTGGCTCCAGTTTTGGATTAAAGTCCTCCTTTAGTTGTACCTTTCGTAAATATTAAGTTCATTATTATATTAGTACAGCTTTTGTCTTGACAAGCGACAAATATATTGTTTTTATTAAAGCCATGTTCTGATATATACATAGTCAATACTGAAAATTTATCAAATGTATCAAGAAGCAAAACTGGTATATAAGTAAGATGTACCTACCCCATTTTTCAAACCATGATCCTGAGAAATAGTTGGAGAAATGCATGATTTCTTTGGTGATGTCTGCAAAAAAAAATACTGTTGATTAAAATTGAAATGTAATACAATATAAATTTTTGTAAGAAAATATAATAAAGAAATAATTATATGTCTTCACTACGTTATTGTACATATAAAAATTGTCATCATCAGGAAACATTGTCACATTTTATGAATCACTTTATCAATTCAATTATTGCGAATGTCAATGTATTCTAAGCTTAATATGTTATAATTAAAAAAATTCTTTTCCGCAATTGAATGAAACGCAAAGAAAATTAATATAGAAATAGGATTGCATAATTTCATGCAAAAAATAGAAAACACTTCTAATAAGCAGACATTATTTTGATATAAAATATTCTTAATATAAAAACAGGCGACAAAATAATAAATAAAATTTTAGCAATATCTTATACTAAGAAATATTTTGAATTAAATTATTCAAATATGTTTAGTTTATTTCGAGTTAGATATCGCATAGATTTTAAACTGCGTAATTTGTAAAACAAACAAATCCAAGTATGTACTTTTATCTGGATCAGGAGAAAATTTTAGAAGAATTTACTGAATTTATCCTGATTATACATACATAGCTGTTCCTTTATACATAAATTAACATATTTCTTGTAACGAGTGAGAAGTGTTTATGAAGATTTCAAAAATATTCATAACCTAGAGAAGTATCCAGAAAAAGTGGAAAAATTCCATCAATGAGAATAATGCAATGAATTTTTTACCTCTTCATTCATCTTAGGTTACTGACGACGATAACATCAAATATAAAATTATAAATATACTTAATAATAAAACATTCTGATGAAAGACACTGGACATTCTGAACATAAGAACACATACAGCTACTTATATATATATATATATATACACATATACATATACATATACATATATATATATATATATATAGCTAATATACGCACAAGTTAAATGCATTCGCCAGTGTGTGACATCGTGTCTCGACGTGTAAGTGTTTTAACGCAATTATCATCGTATTACTTTCCATCATTAGTTAATGATTTCTGTGTTTCGAAACACTTCATGCGTTTGCGAAATGCTTTCTTGTTTCCTATCGTGTTAATGAACGACGGAGATCTATGTTTCGCGCAGACACGTGTCTGAAAACATAACCGCTATTGGAAAGTAGAAAAGAGCCTATTCCATGGCGGAGAAGGAAGATAATTGCGATAGAATCATTTTCTTGGAATTACGATTCTACTTGCGGAAAATGTAGGAGACACATCTAAAATATAAATACAATATACATTAATCTTTAATTCTCTGGACATTTTCTTAAAGAGAAAATATTATTTCAAATTGGCCATAATATTATTAAAAACGAGATTTTAAAAAACAGGAGAAATAAAACCGAAATATTTTGATCAAGATATTAGAAAATTTTTGTAATACCGTTTATCCAGATATGGTGAACGCTAAGGTCACGTTATCTTCTTCTTAACAATTAAGAAAGGGATAACGTGACTTTAGCATTCATCATATCTGGATCCACGTTATTGCAAAAACCCCCTATTGTCGCAGTTAAAATATTAAAAAAAATAGCATGGCTGTGAAATGAGATATATACAGGATGTTCCATTTAGAATTCATTTTAATAATACATTGACCAATTATACATTTCTACATGTAAAATCGTAATTCTCAGAAAATTATTTTAATTGAAAATAATTTTGTTAATACATAACATTATTAATAATACAAATACGTCATGCTCTTGTCTTAATTACTTTGTTCATTGACACTAGCTGTTATTGAATTAATAAAAACTATTTTCAATTAAAATAATACTGCTGACATCATTTTTTTGTACATTATATATATATATATATATATAACTGATTGATATATGAAAGTGAAACTGCTAATTTAAATAATTGCCATATGTAAATATTCATATATCAATTATTTTACTTCAATTATCACCAGAAATTTCACTCATCTACCGCATGCTCGTTCTATTTCAAAGAAACGCAGCCGTTTCTTGCGTCAAAACATCATGTAAGAAGCAAAAAAGACGATCTTACAACTCGATGGATTTTTCCACTCACGCTATTTGGTAATAATGACGATACGAAGCTGTGTGGCAAAACTGACAATAAAATGTTTGATCTGGAAAAATAGGGACAGAAAAAGCTGTGCAATGGAAAGAGCTTCGGTCCGAAGAAGGAACGAGGAAAAAGGAGACAAATCGACTTACGTGTAACGATATATCCTCTAGGTGCTTGCGGATGTTTTCTTTTGTGGATTCGTGCAATGCCATCGTTATCGAAAATCGTATTCTCAGTTCACAATTTCAACCAGATTCCGATGCTCAGGAACGACGATGACGGCAATAGGCGAAGGAGACGACGTATGACGACGATAACGAACGACGCCAGGAACCGTTCTAAAGAACGAAGCAGGAAACACTGGCACCTTACGCGAGCAAAATTATCTCGACTGTATCGCGATTGGCTTCCCATGCCGGCGTTTCGCGCCTAAACCGCCGTCCGCCAATCAGCTGATCGGGCTGTGCCGCCAAATTCAGCTGACTCTCACATTATCCATCCTTTTCCCTCTTCTAGCGCATTTTTCGGCCGAAAATATTTTCAAATGAATTTCTCGCGGTCGGTCAGGATTGCACAAAATGGTTCGTCGAACAGAACCTTTCCTGCGACTCTCGACGACGTCGGTGGTTTCCCGCGCGTTTTAACGAGACTGCGCGATGAGTATTGCGGGTGAATCATCGGAGGAGACGATTCTTGTAATAGTTATAACTTGAATGCAAATTACGTAGCTGTAAATTCATTTGGATAAATGTCACGATTTGGACAGATGAATGGTTTTTTCTTTTCTTTATGTTATTTAGTCTCGTTCTGATATATTTAGAGTTTATTCTGGGTCTATAGTCTCGAGGGTTTATATCGTATATGAAAATCTATAATATAAGGCCTTGTGCATAAATATTAAGTATAAATATTATCATAAATATGCATATAACAGTAATATTATAAATATTAAAGAAATAAAAAAATTAGACATAGATTATTAAACGTAACGCATATTAAATATAGATATGACATATTTATAAATTTTATCTTATTTCCATTGTGCGGTACATTTAATCTCTATTTATGATGTTTATTTTTCTTTAATATTTAAAATTTATTCCTGTTCCAAATTCTTTCATGCGCAAAGCTCAATGCATACTACAGTATAAGCATTATTTTCCAAAAATAAGACCTTAGCTCAATAACAATAAAATGAGATTAATGAAAAAGTGTCTAAAACGTTTTCAATTACAAATATTTGTTACGAACAATCGCAAAAGTTAATGTTGTCAGAAACTTCAAAAAAATTTGTTGTCCATGCTTGATGATTCTTTTGATGCAACCCATGGATGCGATCGACTTGACGCAACGCTCATGGAATCATCTTATTCTTGGTGTTTCTCAAATGTTGAAGGACAAATAACGCTCGCTAACGTTGAGTTAAATGGATGTACTTTATAGATAAATAACTCACTTTCATAATAAGTACTTTTTGTAACTAATCGAAATGTTTCGGATATTTCCTGTTTTATCTATCTTGTTTTAAAAAGAAAAACGAATTTATACAAGTATATAAAAATATAGATGTGCTCGATAATTCATTACCGAAACTATTACATCTAATTAATCAATAAAAATTTAAATTGTTCATTGATCCTTATTAATATTAAATTAACGCTACATTTGTAATTGTAATTGATTTTTCTGTTAGTATAAAGAGTGGAGACATCAGGTGATCATTGCAATAAACCATATTTATTTGAATAATAATAATTAGAATAATACAATAAAGAACGTTTTTAGCAGGCCAATTTCCCGGTAATGCTCATGAATGCTTTATGAATGTCTTCTTTACTTTAAAGGGATGCATTTCAAGATATACGCGCACTATTAAAATGTTTCCAAAACAATCAACCAATATTAAAGAAATAACTATCTTTTCAATAAATGCGTATCTGCATCGTTAAAACAATTAAAAATATTGCGAATACACTGTATATAGATAAATCACGTTAAACTCTTAGGAACAATTAAAATTTCTTTTTCTTTTTTTCTTTTTCTTCATTCATGTAAACAGCATTGTTTAATTGTGTCGCTCTTGTCAGCCTAAAACAACGAAAATCCTATATCTATTTGCGTATAACTTGAGATTGCATTTGCACAATTCTGTTCAAGAGGAAAAGGATTATTCATCTCAGATATTACGGCTTGGACCAGTGTTTCTTGTCATCCGTTGCGTTTGTGTGTGTATATATATATGTTGGGTGTATGATACGTGTAATACGGTGTATGCGTATGCTTTAAATGGCATCAATATCGAAATCATCCTCGGAATCATTGTTGGCGGCAGCGACGGTCGTAGCGGCAGCAGGTTTCGGTGTGGCCGGCGGCTGCTGTTGTTTCAGAGATTCCTGCTTGGCTCTATCATCATATTCGATCTAAAATGGAAAATTTTAAATGTCAAATATAACTTTTTATATCACAAAGTTATAAAAAAATATAATATATATAAAAATAGTTTATAAAGAATAAATAACGCAGAAGAAAGAACAGTTTTCAAAAAAATCTTATAAAGCATTAGATTTAATGAAGATTGTTTCGAAGAAAAGATTTCAAACCGAGCTATTTTAATTGACTTATTTCCAGAGTTCTTAAAAAAAAATAAAATAAAAACTTCTATTGTATATTTAATTATAAATTAATAGAAGAATTAGACAAAATAATGAAAAAATTAAATTAAAGAATTAACGATTTTCTTAGAAGCACTTATGAACAATGAGATTACCTCCACATCGTCGTCTTCTTCCTCGGATTCAGACTCTTCTTCCTCTGCGACTTTCAACCATGTTAAAAATGGTGCAGCTCGATCATGAATTTCCTGCGACAGATCTTTTGAGACATATTTCTTGCTGACTTTGTTTGACCATTCATCAAATGCCTTCTCTTCTAGGATATCAGCGTCGTAAAATAACTGTAATGTACACAAATATTTTAACTAATTAATAATTTGTGTGATAGCAGTATCTAATACTTACGGTATGTATCAATACTTTCTAATTGAATTCTTGAATAAAATTTGTTAAAATATTCCTAATTCTAAAAAAATTTATTCTTTCACCTTGAGGATTCCGGGAACCTTCGGCATCAGTGCATCCTTATGCAGTGCGATCACTTGCTCGATTCCTCTGATCAAATATTTCTGTGCCTTAATGTCATCGTGAGTGAAGCGCAGCAGTAGCACCCGGTATTTCTTCGCCTGTGCGGCGATTCCCTGATCGAACAACAGCTCGGCAAGGATCAATGGTGCCTTGGTTTTAATCTCGAGACGCTCCGCCTCGGCTACGAGCTCCTTGTGATTGTTGTCAAGTTGGCCAGCATCGCGACGGCATTTGACCAGTTTGTAGAACATGTCCATGCGCTCTTTTTCACTCTTATCGAGATCATCACTGATGGTCATACCTTTAGCACCATCCGTCAGGTCTTGGAGACGAGCTCTGACTGCTTCCTCAGACACATCTACCGCCCATTTATCGTCATCTCCCTCGTCATTGATCGTTCTTTCTGGCGGTGGTTCCACCACAACGTCTCCAGAGTTGTTGACGTCATTTTCTGGCGAACCAGATCGATCGTTGCCGTTAGTGGTGGCAGTGGTGGCGGCGACTGTAGCCGCAGCGTCACCATTAGCGCGTTTCGAACGTTTGCCGCGTTTACCCTCTGTCAAAGAGCTGCCCTGTACTGCTGGATTCAAGCTCGGCGGATTTTTCAAAATGTACGTGTTCAACTTGTGATTGCTTTCAAGAAGGCCATGATGTCCACACGCCTTGCAACCCTGTGAAATCGTGCCCTTCTTCGAACTGACCATTAATTCGGTTTCCGGATTATCACAAGCCGGACAAAGAACATATTTTCGAATGAAACCATCCAGCAGATCTTGTAACTTTGTCGCATCGTGCGAGCCGTTGACGATGAAGCGTTCGTTCTTGAAGTCAAACTGCGTCTGAGCGCCCAACTCGCAGCCGAAATACTTGGTCGGATATGTAGCCGGACGACCGATCGCCTTCGCCACATCCACCATATTGACGATCACTGTCTTAATACCATTTCCCTTGCCTTCCACCTTCGCTTGGATCCGCGGCATTTTATAACGATAAAAAGCATCGCTGACATTGCGATTGACGTTTACGCTCCCCATGGTGACCGATGTTTCCGCCTTCTCTTGCTCTTAACGAACTTTATTTCTCCGATCGACAATGATCTCTGACGAGACGTCGTTGTGAAAGTATTAATGAATCGGAACGAAAAAATCGCCTCTTAAACAGCTCGTGAAGTGACGTCAAATCCGCTCTATTCAATCTTTCTTCTCTTTCTCAGGTAGGTAACGTCTTCGTCCTGGTTCTTCTAAATCCCCTCTGTCGCACGTTTCCAGCCAGCGGCAGTTTGGTAGCTGGCGGTGGCCAGTAGCAGGCGATGGTTGCTACCTGCTCGTGGTAGCTCGTAACAGCAGCGTGTCGAGTCAGGGTGGTTCTTCCTCTTGTCAGGATTGTAGTTCTTGTTAGCGGTAAGGCGTGCCGCGCCGCTACCCGCTGACGCCAGTCACGTTTCTCTGAATGGCTGTAGCTTCCGATGCCTATTACTAGTAGAAAGAAAATGCCTTGCTCTTAATATCATAGTAACTCAAACTGCCCTTAATAATTTTAATTACTAAAAATTAAAAACAATTATTAGACATTTTCAAACAAGTTTATTTTAATAAATGTAACTCAACCTTTTTCAACGTCTTTAAGCATTTTTTAGCATTCCAGATTTGAGCAGAAATTGCAGCGTATTTTTAAAGATAGTATTAATTTTTTCAACAAAATTTAAGATAAAAAAAATTGACACTAACCAGATTGACTCACAAACCTGGAAAATTTTGAGGTCCTGTGCTTGGGCAGGACCAGGTGAAGATTTAGAAATCGTTGGGTGGTATCTTGATGCCTCGGGTGTTGCCTCGGTTTGGCGGTGGCGGGCGGGGTAGGGGGGTAGTCCTCAATGATCATACACGCTGCCTGTCCGTCGCTGGTCGCCTTAAGAAAGCCTGGCAATCTGTGGTACCAGGTTGGTAGTGATGTCGACGTTAACTCGCCGGTTAACTCGTCGCACGAAAACAAACGGTCGTGGGTAGTGATGGTGTTGCCGTTTGATGATCGCCAGTCGGATAATAATGTTCTACTATCGCCGCCGCCTTTGCTACACGCCGATCCTTTCCCTCTGGATAATATCCTGGATGTTTCTATAAAAAAAACCGAAACAATCTTGAAGATGTACTAATCAGTTTCTTTATTTTCGATTTTCGTTGAATTACAACTTCCGTATATAATTCTATTTTTTACATTTCTAATTCTAATTCCTTTGTATAAATTATCCTGCTAAAATAGAGATATTATTTTATATATTTGGGGTTCTAGATTTAAAGAAAATCGAAGGAAATTAGAATTTAGTAATTTTTAAAATTCAAATTTGAGGAATTTAAAGAGCTTAAGGGACTTATCACAAGTGTTTCTTGAAATTTATTTGAACATACAAAAGAAAATTTAATATTAAATTTTTTAAAGAGAAAAATATAATTTTTTAATTTGAAAAGTTATTTTTATAGAGTTTGAAACTAAGACGTTTGTATTTGCTTAGAATATGTCTACCAATTTTAATTATAACACACAATATTATTTCTATTCTTATTATTTTTCCCTTAAACCTGGATCTTGTTGGGA